GGAAGAGCATGTGTCCAACTATGTATATTTCCAAACACACTTCATATATAGTCCTCTGTTTCCACATATATGTAAATATAGGCATATATACCACATAACCATATATATTTGGAAATATAGTTGCAGATGCATTTGGAAAGGTGGGTTGGGTGGAAAGGATTTCAAATGCTACCCTGGAGATCTCTGACCTCAGCTTGTTAGAGACAGCCATTTAGCCATTAGCCCAGGCTTTTGAGGAAAGTAAAAGGAAAAAGGTGCTATTTTGGAAGACTAACCTGCCATCCACACAAAGGATGCACCGAGGACAGAGAGCATCTAGAAACTGGGAGATGAATTCATAGACTGTTGTTTTCAGGCAGTAGCTGCTGTGTACCCAGTTCATGTACTTACCGGATGTTGATGACGTGTTGTCCACGTGGCCGACGCCGGGCTGGGCAGTAGGGCACAGCGGTGAAGACGAGGGGCCTGGCCAATTGGGGCCGGATATTACGGTGTGGGAAGCAGTAGATCAGTGCGGCTGGGACACGTGCTGGCAGGAAATGATCAGGGAGGAGGACTTGCTCTAGCGTGGGAGGCTGGGGAAGAAGGGGCGGAGGGGCTGAAGTGGAGGTGCAGGAGAGAAGCCAGCAGGGGCCGATGCCTCCCAGCTGCAGAGAAGCTCTGGGGAAGGGGAGAGCACAGGCGTGGACAGGCGGGAAGGATCCTGAAGCTCCCGAGCCCTGGTTTCCACCAGGGTCTGAGCTTTCCCTGGAGAGCCAGCAGTGGAGCATTTAGGCCCGGTCAGATGGGTGTTTCAGGACAGTTGCTCAGGGTGCTTCCCGCTGCGGGTTGGAGGACCCTGGAAGCAGGGAGGGCAGTGTGCTCAGCTTGCCCAGGGCAGGTGCTACCCCTGGGAATAAAGAGAGAAGACCCATACAAGGGTGGGAAGAACAAAACAAGAACTCCGGGGCTGATGAGTGGATAGGGAGGTGGATGGTGAGACAACCCAACCCCAGTGCCACAATTCCCAGGCTCAGTGACTGGGAGGACTTCTGTCTCCTCACTGCAGAGGCTTTAATAAGTGCTCTTCCCCTTGCCCCTCTCTCTTCCACTTGCAACCCTGAACCAGACCTTCAGGCATCTTTCCGATTCTAGATGAGTAACAATGCTTTTTCCATGTGCAGCTTGCAAGGTGCTTTAGACGTGTTTTCTCATCTATGCCTCAGAGCAGCAACCAGAGGGAGCGCTGTTGTTACCTCTTTGTGAATGTGGAGCTCAGCAAGGTGAATAAAAGTTCCCGGGTCACACATCTTCCACAGGGCAGGATCCTGGTTAACACAGGATTCGTTCTCATTAAAGCAGTCACTCTTACGCCACACGACAGCCTCCCCCGAGAACCCCAGTGTCACACCCGGAGGCGTTTCTGGTCTTTTCCCCCTCTCCAGACTTGCCCTGGGATGGACCAGCTGCAGCCCTTGCCTTCACTGGAAGCGTCCTTTGGGGTCTGAGCCTCTACCGGTCATTTATCTGCAGAGTTGAGGTCTGCCATCTAGTGGCCACTGCCCTGCTTTTTTTCTTCCGTGCTTCTATAAGAAGGGAAGACGGGAGTTTCCACATACAAGACAGGCCTGCATATTTATAGCATCACACCCTGTAAACAGGAAACTTCTCAGTCTTAAGAGAAGGAGCCTAGTAACATAAACATAGCACATTGCCAGTGAGTTTCTGCATCCATTCAGCACTTAAACAGATATATGTGTATATATATAGATATAATAATATATCCATTCCATTGGAAAGTGTGCTTCCTGAGACAGGGATTTCTTTTGTCTGCATTGCTCACTAACAAATCTCAAGAGCCTAGAACAGTGGTGTTTGTATGGCAGACATGCAACAAATATTTACTGACAAAGTGGAATAAATGAATACTTAACATGTACTGCATCTTTACTCTATACCGGGCACTTGACGTGTACATTTTCTCGTTTAATCCTAGTGACAACTCGAGAGGTAGGGACCATCAGTATGCCCACTCCTCAGATGTAGAGCCCGAGGTGCTGAGGGATGAGAAGCTTTCCAGGTTTGGGGAAAGCTGGCGTTTGATTCAGGTGTTCTTACTTTAGAGGCCCATGCAGAGTGCCCTTCGTGTGCCAGGCCTCGTGTGCAGCATTGCCACCATCCAGACATGTGGTAGAAGTACCACCCAGGGACCACTTGCTGTCCCCCTGCCATGTTTTGTCTTTACTGAGTGAAGCTCCCCTCTCCACGGTGCTGTGACAAGGATAAATGGCATTCAGGAAAGGCTGACTGACCAACAGTGAGTCCCTGTCCCTAGCTAGCTCAGTGGCTGAGTCACCTTGCCCCAAACCTCAGTTCCCATGTTGGTAAAAAGGAGGAGACTGGGTTTGGAACCCTGCCTTCCCTTCTAGCTCCAACATTCTACTGTTCCTGTGACTCCCAGGGAGCTGGATTGAGTGGAAGAGAGAGGACCACTTGTTACTAGGCAACCAGTACCCACCTCACCCATGTTGCCATGGTGATGATGAAAGTTGGGCTGATGGGATTACCAGCTCCTGTTAATTGCATATGAGAGCTCAAGGTCTCTGTCTCTTTCCTGCTTGCTCTCTCCATCTCACTTTCTTATTCTTCTGGGAACTGGGGAGAGATCTCCTTTCCTTCATCTTCAGTGTCCCTGAGGCAGCCATAGTGCAATGGAAGGCAACTAGAAATGGAGCCTGGCTGGGCCTCTGAGTAGCTGTGTGACCTTGGGTAGGTTCCTCAGCGTCTCTGGGCCACCACTGCCCTATTTGGGAAATGAAGGTGTTGGAATAGTGGTCCCTGTCTAGGGCTCTTCCTGGCTCTCAAATCCTTTGATGCCTAGGGAACATGTCAGGGGAGCAGACCACGCTGTTACTAGGCAACCAGCAGGCACCCTGCCCAAGTTGCCTTGGTGACTGGATGCTGGAAGGGAGGGGAATAGCTGCTGCAGCTAATTGCTTAATTATTTATGAGTGCCTCAAGTCTTTTTGTTGTTTTCGTTGCTAGGGGCTGTGGGGTCACCTTCTCTTCCTTCCTCCTGCCACCCCAAGCTATCTGAGTGGCGTGCTACGCAGTGGGAGAGCACGTTGGCCTGGACCTCAAGCTACTCACGTTCTAGTCCTGCCTCTGTCCCTTCCTAGAGCTGTGGCCTCGGGTAAGTTCCCTCACCTCTCTGGGCCTCAGTTTCCTCATTTGTAAAATGATGGGCGTGCGTAGATAGTCTCCAAGTTCCCTTTCTACCCTGAAACTGGAATTCTGTGGTCCAGTTGCAAAGTGGGAAGGATCGGGGGAATTTTCCTCACTGATTATCTCCTGAGTATTATTCTGAAGGGAAATGGTTAAGAAATGGTTAACCATTCTCTGAATAGAAATGGTTAGCAGTGGCTAAGTATCTTACACGTTTCTAACAGGGAGTGAAAGCAATGCCCATTGTCCTCTGCTTGCTTCTCCCCTTGGTCACATCACCAGACTTCTTTAGTAATCTTAAGGTGATTTAAATTTTATATTTTTTGTAGATCGCCTACTTCCAAGATGCACATGTGCAACTGGATCATTAAAAATAGGAGTACCTCAATATAAAAATAGTGATGCTTTTTCATTGGTTACTATTGAAGTTTTGATTGAACATCAGATGTAATTTTGAGCATCCTGGAAGCCAAAGCAACTGCATCCATTCAGCACTTAAACAGATATATGTGTATATATAGATATAATAATATATCCATTCCATTGGAAAGTGTGCTTCCTGAGACAGGGATTTCTTTTGTCTGCATTGCTCACTAACAAATCTCAAGAGCCTAGAACAGTGGTGTTTGTATGGCAGACATGCAACAAATATTTACTGACAAAGTGGAATAAATGAATACTTAACATGTACTGCATCTTTACTCTATACCGGGCACTTGACGTGTACATTTTCTCGTTTAATCCTAGTGACAACTCGAGAGGTAGGGACCATCAGTATGCCCACTCCTCAGATGTAGAGCCCGAGGTGCTGAGGGATGAGAAGCTTTCCAGGTTTGGGGAAAGCTGGCGTTTGATTCAGGTGTTCTTACTTTAGAGGCCCATGCAGAGTGCCCTTCGTGTGCCAGGCCTCGTGTGCAGCATTGCCACCATCCAGACATGTGGTAGAAGTACCACCCAGGGACCACTTGCTGTCCCCCTGCCATGTTTTGTCTTTACTGAGTGAAGCTCCCCTCTCCACGGTGCTGTGACAAGGATAAATGGCATTCAGGAAAGGCTGACTGACCAACAGTGAGTCCCTGTCCCTAGCTAGCTCAGTGGCTGAGTCACCTTGCCCCAAACCTCAGTTCCCATGTTGGTAAAAAGGAGGAGACTGGGTTTGGAACCCTGCCTTCCCTTCTAGCTCCAACATTCTACTGTTCCTGTGACTCCCAGGGAGCTGGATTGAGTGGAAGAGAGAGGACCACTTGTTACTAGGCAACCAGTACCCACCTCACCCATGTTGCCATGGTGATGATGAAAGTTGGGCTGATGGGATTACCAGCTCCTGTTAATTGCATATGAGAGCTCAAGGTCTCTGTCTCTTTCCTGCTTGCTCTCTCCATCTCACTTTCTTATTCTTCTGGGAACTGGGGAGAGATCTCCTTTCCTTCATCTTCAGTGTCCCTGAGGCAGCCATAGTGCAATGGAAGGCAACTAGAAATGGAGCCTGGCTGGGCCTCTGAGTAGCTGTGTGACCTTGGGTAGGTTCCTCAGCGTCTCTGGGCCACCACTGCCCTATTTGGGAAATGAAGGTGTTGGAATAGTGGTCCCTGTCTAGGGCTCTTCCTGGCTCTCAAATCCTTTGATGCCTAGGGAACATGTCAGGGGAGCAGACCACGCTGTTACTAGGCAACCAGCAGGCACCCTGCCCAAGTTGCCTTGGTGACTGGATGCTGGAAGGGAGGGGAATAGCTGCTGCAGCTAATTGCTTAATTATTTATGAGTGCCTCAAGTCTTTTTGTTGTTTTCGTTGCTAGGGGCTGTGGGGTCACCTTCTCTTCCTTCCTCCTGCCACCCCAAGCTATCTGAGTGGCGTGCTACGCAGTGGGAGAGCACGTTGGCCTGGACCTCAAGCTACTCACGTTCTAGTCCTGCCTCTGTCCCTTCCTAGAGCTGTGGCCTCGGGTAAGTTCCCTCACCTCTCTGGGCCTCAGTTTCCTCATTTGTAAAATGATGGGCGTGCGTAGATAGTCTCCAAGTTCCCTTTCTACCCTGAAACTGGAATTCTGTGGTCCAGTTGCAAAGTGGGAAGGATCGGGGGAATTTTCCTCACTGATTATCTCCTGAGTATTATTCTGAAGGGAAATGGTTAAGAAATGGTTAACCATTCTCTGAATAGAAATGGTTAGCAGTGGCTAAGTATCTTACACGTTTCTAACAGGGAGTGAAAGCAATGCCCATTGTCCTCTGCTTGCTTCTCCCCTTGGTCACATCACCAGACTTCTTTAGTAATCTTAAGGTGATTTAAATTTTATATTTTTTGTAGATCGCCTACTTCCAAGATGCACATGTGCAACTGGATCATTAAAAATAGGAGTACCTCAATATAAAAATAGTGATGCTTTTTCATTGGTTACTATTGAAGTTTTGATTGAACATCAGATGTAATTTTGAGCATCCTGGAAGCCAAAGCAAAAAGAGGAAGGTGCATAATTGATAATAAAATTGCCAGACTGTTCCTAGTTCTAAATTCTGAAAGTAATTTATCATGTGGTGTATATTCTTTTTTAGAAACTGCAGATGAAACTTTTAAAATATCTCTTTCTTGCTGAGAGTACTGTTACAGGACATAAGGAAGAAACCAAACTTGACAGTTTGAATAGTTCTAATCATCAGCAAGCAAAAACTGTCTTTCAACCAATACCTTAGAATTTTATATAAAATTTGAAGATGTCACTAAGGAAATATAAAAGTTTGGAATCTGCCAGTATTTACAAATCATTTATATATAAATGTATGTAACCATTTTGCACATTAATTTAGTAATGTGTATCAAAATTTTAGATGCAGGCAAAAATTCTACTTCTCCAAACTTATTCTGAAATAAACTGGTGGAGATAAGGAAAGACATTAAGTATAAAAATGCTTATGGTAGCATTATTTATCAAAGAAAATGACTGCAAACCAAATAAATCTTGAGTGTTAGTGAATTAAATTGTATTACTTCTTTAGAATGGATTACTTTGCAGTGCTTAAAATGAAGTAGATTTATATGTTTTGATATGAAAGTCTTCCAACATGTTAAGTAAGATCAGGAGATGCAGCAGTGGTATAAAGTGCATCTATTTCTTTATAAAAGATATAGGTAGGTGTACCATATATATATAGAGAGAGATATATGCTTTTATGTGCATACTTGCATTTTTCCAGAAGGAAACTATAAACAGGGGCTTCCTCTGGGTAACAGTATTGATAGCCTTGGGAGGGAGGGAGGCTTACTATTCACTCTTATTTTTATTATGTGGACCTGTTAGTTTTCCAGTTAGAGAGGCAGTAGATACTGGCAGTCAGGAGCTGGATTCTAGAGTCGGAATACCTATGTTCAAATCCTGGCTCTCTCACTTTTTAGCTGGATGACCTTGGGGTTAATTTAATTTCTAATTTCTCATCCGTTGAATGTGCTAATAATAGTACCTTCCTCATTGGATTTTGTGAGGATTAAATGAGTTAGTAACTGTAAAGTGCACAGAATAGCTTAAACAATGCCATATGTGCATTTTCTTGGGGAAAAAAATAAAAGAAGGTATGAAACAGCAACAAAAAAAGTGCATCTAACCCAAAAGGCAGGCCTGGCATGCTGCGATTCATGGGGTTGCAAAGAGTCGGACACGACTGAGCAACTGAACTGAACTGAACTGAACCTATAAGGCCCTTGTATGTTAGAGTTGGAAGGACTTTTAAATATGTTGCTGCTTCTAGCATCATACTTTGTATAAAAATTGTGTTCAAAGTGAGGCTAGCAAAGCAACATTCTTTCATTGTTGTCATTTTACCTGAACTTAAATACCTTTTAGGAAACGCACCTACCCTGGGATTCATACCAGGTGTTTGCAATGCCTGTGAAGCCCATGAACTCATCTGCTTTTGCACCTCCTGTTCTGGTGCATCCAGAGACACTCAAGCTAAGAGCAGGATGTAGGCTAGGCCATGTCGATTATCTTTGAGGAGATGGAGCTCTACATCCACAGCTGGTCAAGGCCAGAGAGGGACCGTCCAGAAATTCAAACTCCAGGAGGGCGTCCATGGCCCTGCCAGTTAGGACGTGTGTTCACATGGCCACCTGCCTTTCCGTTTCTTTTGAGAGAGAGACTGATGGACACCTGGTAAGGGGTTGTACTTGCAGGACCCCTCTTTGGGTTCAGGAATTTTCCTCTGTATTCAGCGGTGCAGAAAGCCGAGGGCTATGTTCCAAACTGCCCCGTTTCTTCCTCCATTCCTCCTGGGTGCTTTGGGGCAAGTGTGGAGAACCTGGACTGATTCTGGGCACCCTAGTTTACAGTTGGTCACGCTTGGGCACACGGTGACCCCTTCAAATCCACTGTGTTAGGAAATGGGCGACACTGACCTGTGACCACTTTACACCCGGATTAGTGGTCCAGGTTCTGACTGGCTGAATTTCTTTCTCAACTCTTGCGCCCTCCAGCCTCTGTTCATTTGGCCAGCGGTTCCGCAGGCATCTGTCACATCCAACCTTGCTTCCATCTGCCCTTCCATCCCTCCACCCCTCCTCCAAGCATCTGCCAGCCTTCCCACCGTCCTTCAGACTGCTGGTTTGTTTGTCCTCACCTCCTCCCCTCCCGCAATATGGGTCCGTCTCCATCCACTGGACCATCCATCCATCCACTCCTTCATCTTTCTGTAGCCCACTCTTTCGTCTCGCCCGTCTCCCGTCAGGCTGCGGAATTCACTGACTGACCCTCTGTTCCCCCGCCCCGTATCCTGGAATCGGCGCCCGCCGCCGCCCCGCCCTCCCTCCGGCCCGCGCGTCCGTCGGTCCCCGCACGCGGAGTCGGTGCCTGCAGGAATCCGCCTCCGCCTCGCGTGGGCCGTGCTGTTGTCCGGCGGCCCGCGGCGGTCCCGTGGCGCGGCTCCGGGACGCGCCTACTCCCGCGCCCGGCGCCCGGCCCCGCCGCGCGAGCTCGCTTAGATCCAGCTCTGGAGCCCAGGTTTGGGCCGGCGCGAGCGGCCGTCGGGCGTCCTAGGCCAGGAGAAGAAACACGCAGTCCCGAAAGTTTCGGTAGCACTTTCCCCTTTTATTTCCTTCCGAAGAAGCAGTGCCGGCGGGCGGGCATCCCGGCTGGGCGGTGGGAGATGCCGGGCCTGGCGGGGGTGCTCTGTAAAGTGGGGAGACTGGTGCTGTGCTGGCGACGCCCACGGGGCTCCTGGGGAGCTCCGGACGCGACCCTCGGCCACAGCGCTCGGGAGAGTTGGCCAGCCCCTGGGAAGTGTGCGGCGGTGGTGTTCCTGTGGCACAGCGGGCGCCTGCCCACCGATGCTGCCTGGCACACTTCTTTGAATTCTTTCTCATTCACTGGGCAGCTGTTTCTTGAGCACTTACTGAGGACCGATCCACACGCCTCCGAGCGGCTGGGGATTCAGCGGTGAGCCCTGCCTCACGTTGTTAGTAGAGTGCAGACGATTGCAGCTTCCTCAGGGTAACAGCTCAAGAACCTTCTCAGAAATGCCTACCTGACTGTCACGTCGAAATTAACACTCCTCCTCATTCCAATCACTCCTGCCCTCCTTGGTCTTCATAATGTTTGTAATGCTGTCGAGTTGTGTTGTGTAGGAGACTGTTTATTTTAAAACAGTCTCAGCCTCACAACACTTTCCCCCTCTGTTTGGGGCCAGTGAGCAGGAACTCGGTGCTTGACGCCTAGTAGGAGCACAAGAAATTTCTGACAAATGAAATAAATGGATGGATTGCAAAGACCCGTCTTAGTATCTGTCACGCATGTGGTGCCCAAGGCTGACACTTAAAGATTGTCCAAGAGCTTAGGGAAGTTTTGATGACACTGTGTCTCCTGTGGTTAAGTATTAGGAAGGCCCCGATGTGACAGTTTTCTGTGCAAGTTACTCAGTAGACACAAATCTGGTTTCTAAAAGCCTTGCGTAGAAGACGTGCAAGACTTTTTAAAAATGATGTTCATGTTTTCTTAGGAAGACAGGCTCATTCCTTTATTCCTGTTGGAATTAGCACCCCTCTGTAAGAATTAACAGTTTGAAGTCATTGTCTCTTTCTGGAACACAGAAAAGTTAGGGGGTGGGGAAGATACAGTGAGTCTTTTTTTTTTTTAATGTTTTCACTTTCATTATGAGATGCTGAAAGAACGTCTTACTGTCATAACAAGAATGGTTTTGGCAAACTGTAGCAGAGTGAAATCATATGAGTCTTTGTTTTCAAAAGTGTGTTATGTTGCTGTTACCTGGTATCTGTTTTCAAGATGTTAAACCTGGATTTCTGGTCTGCAGTGAAGACTGTGGACTGCTGGAAAGAGTATCAAGAGAGTTTGTTTATAAACATGCACAACATTTTTAAGACCATTAATCCTACGTAGCAACACAACTTTTAAAGAATATCTGTTACCCTTTTTTTAATGAAGTATAGTCAATGTACAATACTATTACAGTGTACAATATAGTGACCATAATTTTTAAAAGTTATACTCCATTTGTAGTTATTATAAGACAGTGGCTTTATTTCCTATGTTGTACAATGTAGCTTTATAGCTTAATCCAACTTCTAAAGAATATCTGTTACCTTTTAAGATGAGAATATGGCGATTTCAGTGAAGACAGACTACAGCTTTTCTGATGTGTATTTGCACATTTGTGTTCTCTGAAAGTCAGTAATCAAGTGAAATATGTTGTTGCCCCCATATCCAAATCTATAACAGTAGTGGCTATATTCATTTAGACATTATATTTAGTTCCAGCACTGCCCATCTGAATTCCTTTTGCCTGATCAGTCATCCCATAGGTTTTATTGAACTTTCTCTACTTCTCTGGAGATGTAGAGTGCCTCTCTTCCCCTTGAGGTTGTGAACACATTATGTTCTAGAGATTCCCACATACCTTTTCCCCCCAGAGAAACAAGATTATAGAGAGGGTGGTAAGGCTCTCCA